TCTACTAATAATCTGATATTTATCGGTTCATGTTTTTAATGATATGAAATTTTAATTCTTTTCTTTAAATAAATCAACGAAAAATCGTTCTATTTGCTTACTCTACCTGGAGCCCCTCTGGGGGTACTGCCGATCCCAAGCCCTGACAAAGAAGGAGCGTTAAGACATGTGGTTGGCTACCCCATCCCGTAGAAAACTAACTCGCTATACAAATCCTAACCAGAACAGCTTATTCAAATCGTTATACTAACCACTGAATGACATATCGATTCATGGTTTCGAAAATGTGTAACTTAACAATTTTCACACCCCCATAATACAAATTACCTGTGCTTATTAGTGACTAACTTTGTGAGGAATCTTCCCCGAATTCTAGTGGGAAGACGTGACCAGTGAAGTTCAACCTGTTCGGGTGTAGACGGTGTCTACCGAAAACTGTGTATGAGGTTGCGCAACTCTGTGAATTGATCGAGTTAGACAATAGCACCGTTAGATACCGGCTCAGTGGTCTGTTGGTTAGGGCATTCGCCTACAATACCGAAGGTCCTGGGCTCGAATCCTGCGGGGTGCAGGAATCGTGGATGTGCACTCATGAGCAATCCCATACGAGGACGAAATGACCGTCCAGTGCTTCCAGGTTTCTAATGGTGGCCTAACATTGATCGATTCATGGATTCAAAAATAGATATATTTAGATCAGTTAGCGTTTCCAATAAATTTTTAAAGGCTAGTAGTTACTTTTTTCATTGAAAGTATGCATTTAGCTAACTTCTGAATAGAAATACGTGTTATGTGGGGTAGACTAACAATTTTTTTCACTGTATAATCCTTGCATTAATTATACTATGATAAAACTCGACACTATGATGTACCTTGATGTTACAGCCAAACGTGTGAACATAACGTTTTTTGTCAATACATAGAGACGGAAGTCGAATTATCGATTTCTTTCTATTGAAATCTATGCATAGTTTTTTTGTTAAATCATTCTGATTTTTTGCGGAATGAAACATTCCGTCTAGAAAATTGAATATTGAATGTGCCAAGGAAAAAATTTTCAAACAAATTTAACAGTTGCTGTCTTTTTTCCACTGACCAAATAATGTGTTATCCATTTGAATGAATCATAGTTTAAATAGTTAGTATTTTTGTTTTAACAAGACGAGAAGAAAAATTCCGCGCATTTTAAATCATGCCTGAATTTTCATTTAGTCAAACTAAAAAATAGGTGTGCATGACATTTTCTGACTGAAATACTGATAATAATCGTAATAATATTTGTTTATATTGAACACTGAATAAATTTGTTTTATTGATTTATATTATTCACACATATTTGATTGGTGTCGTTTTATTTTCCAACTTTATCCTAATTTAGTCACACTGTTTTGTCTAGCTAGTGATTGTCAGTTTATTAGCGGTATTTTTAAAAAAATGTACTATTTTTGAAAGGATAATAGTAGATAGTTTTACTTTGTTGTTAGAATGTATTGTTGCGCCATGTATGACTGTACTAAATACAGTTTACTAATATAATAATACTAATCACTGACCTGACTTAGTCATTTTGTAATCACTAAAAACAGAAAATTGAAACGTAGGGGTAATGTTTAAAACGAAGTTGAAAGGAAATCCTACCGGACTCATGCTATTTTTGAGGTAACTGATGCTCCCTGATGGACTTGATCTCGTGTCATCCAGCTTCACAGTCAGAGATGAATTTTATCATTGATTCATTCAGGCTGCAACTGCTCGTGTATCATAGGACAACCGAATAAGCAATGCTGTCGTTAGGAAACGAGTTCTAAATAGGAATGCCAAATCAATAGATGAAGTAGTGAAACTTCATCAGTTGAGGTGTTTGGGACATGTTTTAGGAATGCCCAACTACCGACTGGCTCGACGAGCGATGTGTTGTGGTTGGAAGAGAGCAATGGGCGGCCAAATCGAATTATGACGGAAATCCATAAAGTCACTGACAAGTGGACTGAGTCATGTTGGTAGATGTAGGTTGCCTGGTTAGGGTCCGCGAGACGATAGTCACCGATTGTTAGAGACCTTGAATGACATGGCTCAGGTGAATCCACTCTTTGTTTACTATGAAATTCTAAGCTTCTGCATTCCTCATAATGTCTACCTTTCTCCTTCTAAATTTATCTCAATAAATTATACTTCTCGAATAATATATTCGCTCCCCAATCTTCTCCATTATTGCTAATACTTCTATTATCGCTATCACTGTTGGATTTGAACTGACAGTCGCTTCTCTATGCTGATGGGGCATGGCAACCTGAACTGATGTACTTACGTAAGAAGTTTCGCGTTGTATCTGTCTGTCTGTCAGTCAGGCTGCAACTGGCGTCCCCTGGAATGCAGATATATCTACAAGTGGTCAACACTAAAGAGGACCCGATACACATGAAATCAATCATTGCTCAGGTGATTATCGTTAACTTAAGAACCGAGAACAAAGTGAATGATGATAGCCCGAGTTATTTAGACTAGCCATGATACAATCGCCTGATCGATAAAATTCAATATGATCTAGTTTACTACTTATTGATTAATCAGTATTGAAAGCCTCAGTAATGAACTCAATCTATCTTCTACCATTTCTGCTTACTTACTTACTTACTCCTGTTATCCCTGATCGAGCATAGGCCGCCGACCAGGATTCGCCAACCTCTTCTGTTATGGGTATTCCTTTCCAGTTCTACCGATCGTTGTTCGATGTTATCATGTCTGTCTCCAATTCTTGGCACAGTGTGTGTTTGACTCTTCATCTTTTCCTTTAATCTCAAGGGTTCCAAATTGGGGCTTGTCTTGTGATGCAGTTTGGTGCTTCCCTCAATGTGTGTCCTATCCACCTCCTGCGCTTTTTCCTTACCTTTTTTCTCAGCTGGAATCTGGTCTATTCTGTCCCACAGGAGGTTGTTGCTTATGTTGTCTGGTCTACAGATGAGGAGTATCTTGCATAGACAACTGTGAATAATCACTTGTATCTTATGGATGATGGCTTCCATGGTTCTACAAGTTTCTGTCCTGTACGACAGAAATGTTTTGACTTTTGTATCAAATACAACTTGTCTGTCAGTGATGCTGATCAGGTACATAAAGGTTTCCACATCCTCCAAAGCTTCTCCATCAAGAGTGATTTGGTTAGTGCTTGCTGTATTTTGTCCAAGTGTATTTTCAGACCTACTACTATAGAGGCTGTTGCTACAATGGCCGTCTCCTTCTGTATTTGTTGTTCTGTGTAGGATAGAAGAGACAGATCATCTGCGAAGTTCAGATCATCCAGCCTCACTCGAGCTGTCCCCTGTATTCATTACTTCCTCTTAGATGTTAACGTCTTCATAAAACAGTCGATCACCAGGAGAAAGAGAAAGGGTGAGAGTAAGTTACTTTAAAAAATACTGATCACTTCGAACGAGTCTGTGAGCTGTGCTCCATGTACTGCTCTATATTGCAGTCTAATCCATCGTAAGAGTTCCGTATTATATTCACTGTCTTCACATCAATGATACACAAGTGATATCTTATTATCAAGGTCATTCAATTTCACTAAATCTATCAATATTTAAAACAACAATCAACTTTTTCCACTTCACATTTGAATTTGTTTTAATAAATAATATAAAGGTTAACGTTTATTAATTCTTTTTAAAACAAACATTGTATAGTTTATCTTTTAATGCGCTACATAACATGTGATACAACTACATTCAATCTTTATATGAAGTCAAAAATATCAAACTACTGTTAAAAAGGGTTCGGAAATAAACGAACAACTCTTATTCACTGTTATGATGGATCCTAATTTTCAAATTAATTTAGACTTAACCTACTATTAGGAAGTGACTTAACTATCAATCAATATTTCGAACTGACATAAGTGATGTGCTGCCACAAGACATTTTCCACAAAGTCTACCATTATACAGTTAGAGCAATCTGATTGGACAATTCGCCTTCTGAAATTCCGACCAATCAACATGAATTATCATAATTTGAAGTAATAGGACAGTTGTATTCGCTTCCAGTTCATTTGTGTTATTATCAATAAAAATGCACATTTTTTGATGACTTATTTATTTAATGAATGCGTCAGTGGACTGGAATACCGTCCGAATACATAAACCATACCACATAGTTTACTTAGAGTAGCCACTCTCACAGTTTTTGATCTACAGGTCTTATCCACGTCGGTAGACGCAGTCTTATAGTAGCCAGTGGCTAACAGTAAGTCAGTCAGTCAGATGCAACGTAGTACTTCCTACGCAAGTACATCAGTTCATGTTGCCATACAACATCAGTACAGAGATATAATTGTCAATTCACATCCAATAGTAGAAGAGGTAGTAAAGGTAACAGAAGTAATCGGAGAGGTTAGGATGAGAAGATATTATTCATGAAGTATGATTCAGTGAGAAAAGTTTAGAAAGTCAAAACTGGAGGTGCTGAAGAATCCAGAAGATTAGGATTCGAAAGAACACAGAGAATAAATGCACTGGCGCTATTGCAAACGGGTGTTATCCAAGTCATTCAAGTTCTCTAACCATCGATTATTATCATCTTGCGGACCCCAACCATGTAGTCGACAACTACCGACTGTATCCGAGCTGAGATTTCGTCAGTCACCGGGCCATCAGCACTGAAGAGCCTCCCAAGATAAGTGAAGCGGAGTGTAAGTGAACCACTGGATTAGAGTCAAGGTTTTCTGACTCTACTAGATAGAGTCTCTGTATCCACCAACTCGGTTTAAATGCCAGATATTCAGTATTCGTCATCTCAAGGCCGTAAACGACATCTCCATCAAGAGAATGCAGTGAGTAGTAACTCCCCTGTAGTGGTGATATACGTGTAGAAAGTGAATGGAGATAGATAATAGATACTCTTCCCTGTCGACCGTAGCGTCGACATTCAATGAGCATTTTGTTTATCCTGTCAAATAATCCCTTTTTCCTTTCTCTTATTTCTTTTATTCCCACACAAAAAAAGGTATTCGAATGTAATCGTGTTGGAAATCGTATCCTGAAACCACCAGTTTGTGCTGAAATAATTTGTCATGTGAATGAATTAGTCAAAAATCGTCCAGTTTTAGTGAAAGTCACTGGATGGTTATGGGCGCGTACACTATTCGCAAAACATATATCCGATGTTGATGTAAGTTGAAGCATGCAAAAATGGTTACACTTTACTTTGCAAGAACTATTTTGAAAAAACAACAACAATATTTTGTGATTAATTTATTTTACTGTTTTGGTTTTGGCCTTTAAATTCTGTAGTATAACGAGGAATGAGAAAAGTACACTCTCTTTCTCTCTCTCTTTAACCTACTTACCTACTTACTTACCCCTATTAGCCTCAATGAAGTACCGGTCGCTAGCCAGCATTTTACAACCTACTCTGTCTTGGACAGTCCTTTCTAGTTCTGCCCATCTTGTTTTCATCCTTTTCACGTAATGTTTGCCTTGGTATACTGTTTTTCCTTAGGTCTTGAGGATTCCAAGTTAGGGCTTGGTCTTGTGACACAGTCGAGTGCTTCCCTTAATGCATATCCTACCCATTTACAGCGCTTCTTCTTGATTTCTTCCTCAGCTGAAATCTGATTTGTTCTCTCCCGCAGTAGGTTGTTGCTGACGATGTCTGGTCAACGGACCGGAAGTATTTTGCATAGACAACTGTTAACAAACACTTATGATGGTGGTTTCTGCTCTCTCGCTCTCAACATACTTTTATATGACCATATGTGTGTGTATATAGCCATCAACTGGTTTCTCGTGGCACGGTTTTTTTTATGAAACAGTGTGGATGGAAAGCGAATCTCCAATGAGGACCTAAACCAGTTTGGTATATACAAAGGATCTATCTAGGGAGTTGGAGGACTGTGTCTTTAAACCATCAATGTACATGGGGTCCAGAATCCTGATTAAACAAATGGTTTATGAATCTATTGGGGCTTCCTATCCTCATGTTGCTTAGAAAGTAATTCCCAAAGAAAATCATATTGTTTGGTTTGAGTACTCGAACAGTATCCCAGTTCACTTAAAAATTCAGTGGTTTGTGTGTCAAATAGAGAAATAGGTGCCTTTTTATACTAAGCATTCTTTGCTTACCCAAAAATCCTTCTACGCATACGATTCGAACCCAGGGCTTTCGATCTTCTGTGGGAACGCTTAACCTCTGGACCACTGACCATCTAAAAGTATTATTGTCTAACTGTGATCAATATAGGGTTTTTGCATCGTGACCTCACTCATTTGTATTAGATAGTTACTGCGTACACCCGTTAGGGTTGAACTCCATTGGTTACATCTTCTCACTAGAACTCCGAGAACTGCCTCACAAAGTTAGTCACGACTGAGTACATTGTACAATTTTTCATGATAGAGTTATGGAGACTGTTGTTATCCAGCAAGTTCGAACCTTACGAGTAGCAGGATCATTCCGCATCATCTGTATGATTCAACTAAACTCTTCTTTTCACGAACTAGATTGATAGCTTACTAAATTAATATACGATAAACTGAATGACCAAAACCTGAAAATTCAAACAAAACTATTGACTAAAACCTCATCAGACACATCATATATAATCAATCTATTTACATATGCATAATATTGACAATACCCATGTACACATAATACGCACACACTTTTCAAAACATTTCAATGTATGCAATACTGATCAGTCATGCAAAAAAAACTGTCATTTCGTTTTTTTTTTAGATAAAATACACTCTCAAGAGATTAGATAGAATAAACTACATTCAATTGTTTATTTATTATAATTTTTTCTGAATGTCAATTTTTTGTTTTTTGCACCTTGAACAATTCAAAAAGTTGATATTTTATGACTAAATTAAAACAAATAAACAAATCAACCATATTGAACATTGAATCATTTAGTGAAAACTAAGAAAAAAATTTGACATACAAGTAAAATAATAATAATAACAATAATAATAATAATAACTGTATCTGTCTATCAAATAATTTATATACTAAGGAGATAGATAATGTGTTTTATTTTGAAAGGTTCACTATGATTGAACTGTTGTTCAATTGTCAATTGGACGGACATTGAATTTGTTTGTGTTTTCATTCACATTCAACTAACTGGAATAAGATAATAAAAAGTTATAAACAATGTTATTTGTATTTCTTATCATCAATGAATCACATACTAATAGTAGTGATATATTCACGATAAGCTGAAATAAACATTTTATGCTTTGGACTAACTTTCGTGTATTGAGAATGATAGAATGTACCAAACGTATAATATAGAATAAAACCCTTATTCTATGTAACAATTAGGGGAGCTTGCATCATAAAGTGATCTGAGATTTCAAATCGATATCATCATTGTGAATACACTGTTCAAGGTTCAGTATTTGAAGGGGTAGGTTGGAAGAAAGTTAGGGCCGGCCAAACCAAAACATGGCAGAAATCCATGAAGTCATTGACAAGTGGACTGAGCCATGTCGGGAGTTGTCGACTACATGGTTGGGGTCTGCGAGATGGTAATAATTGTAATAGAGACCCTGAATGACATGGCTGAAAACCGTTTGCAATGACGCCGGTGCATTTATCTTTGTGTTCTCTCAAATCCTAATCTTCTGGATTATTCAACACCTCTAGTTTTGTCTTCCTAAACTTATCTCAGTGAACCATACTTCTTGAATAATATCTTCTAATCCTAACCTCTCCGATTACTTCTAATACCTTTACTATCTCTTCTACTATTGGATTTGATTTGACATCTGTGTCTCTGTGCTAATGTGGTATGGCAACATGAACTGATGTACTTACGTACCAAGTTCTACGTTGCATCTGACTGACTGACTGACTGATTTGAAAAAATCATGGTAATTTTCTATTGTATGATCGATATTCAAGATGTTTCTTGACTCATTCTGTGAATATTAAAGCTAGTAAAGGGTATTGGATAACTAAATTTAAGTAAGAAATGTGAATATATTTCAAAGACGAAACTTTCCAATATCTCTTTCTAAACTAAATCAAATATATTATGATACTGTTCTTACTCAAAGTGTACTTACTCAACAAACTGTGCATGTTACCTATAGATTAAGTTATGCGATGAGTTTGTCAATTGTTAAATTTATACTGTTTATGTATAAACATGATGCTAAACTTTTTATTACAGTTGGGTAACCATAGCATGTCGAAAACTACGGTTCTTGTCTGACCACGAAGTTAAACAAAGTGCCAAAATGTCCTGTTGCAGTCGAGAGGGAAGAGAATTCACTCTCCTCTAAATTCCCTCCGACGATGTTATTTACGAAATCGAGAGGATGCTAACTGAATCCAAGTTGATGATCCGTCTGATGGAGTAGGAAAATCTCATTCCAAACCAATGGTTCACATGAACTTCACAATCCCAATGGAATCAATGACATGCAAACTTAGTGTTGGTCACCGGTTACCATGAGACTGAATGTCCTACCGTTGCGCTACTACAGTGTGGATTCATTCTGTAGGTCAAAAGTTCATAGAGTAATATCCCAATCCATCAACAAACTCATCCATTTCCGTGACCCACTTAAGTATCAATAATTAAACAAACTAATTAACTTTATAGTTTGAAAATTTTTGTATTTAATTAGATAAACATTTATATTAAATTTTCTACTCGAATAAACATACAAATCAGCTGATCAACATAATGCACTTTTATTAAATCAAAATCAAACAAAGATGGTTTTAATTCAAATTAAATTAATATTCAGTGAAATACATTGAAAACATTGAATCATAGATAAATGGAGATCACGTGATCAACAAGCTTGTTTATTCTCAGCGGTTGGTCGTTTGTGTGTGTGTGTCCATCAATCAATCAATCAATCAATCAACCAATCAATCATGTTTCGAAATATTGATTTTTTCGATGTCTGTACCTCTATTCTCTCTCTCTGTTCCTCCACTTTTCTTTCTAGCTTGTCACAATTATCTCAGTGAATCAAGGCATTCTGCCAAAAGGTGTACAACCAGCTCAAGAACCAGTTGGTCATTTTTATTTATCACAAACATTTTTCTTTCCACAAATTCGTCCAAAATTATTACATCAAATACCAATTTGGCCAATTATTGTTGGAATTGTTTTAGGTGTACTGGTGTTGTATTTATTAATTATTCTGCTGTATTTATTAGGATTCTTTCATCGACGTAAAACAGAATTACGTAAAGCTAAATTTACAAAAGGTGGTGCTGAAGATATTTATCAATTTGAACAAGCACAATTATTGATCAATGATCAAAATAAGTCGAAAAATACTACTACTAATACTACTACTAATAATAATCATCATAGTAATCAATATCAACATTCAGATGGTCATACCAATGTCACGCCACCAGTGCAACCAACATCACCATTATTGAATAATGATAGTAAAAGTCGAAAACGAATGAAGAAAAAGCATAAACATGAACTGAATATTTTACATCCTGGTGATTTATCACCAACTGGTACATTGACAAAAAACACTAGTCGTGATGATCAAAATGATGATGGTGATCACGATCACTATCACGATCGCGATCATGATGATGACGAAGAACAACGGGATAAAGATGAATTAGAAAAACAAAATCTAATCACAGATTCAACTACTAAATAATAATAAAAAAATTTAATGTATTTTCTAAGTGTTTATATGTATGATTGTGTGTGTGTGTGTGAAAGCTTGCGCGCGCGCGCGCTCACGAATTGAATATTGGTCAACTTATACAGCTTTTAGTTTGTCTTCCTTGTTTCGGTGCTTATATTCTCCCTCTCTCTCTCTATCTCTCTAAAAGTTTATACATCTATTGTGATATACTCATAGATATGGTTTTTGTGGACGCCATCTTGCACCTATCTCTCCCCACATATATAATATTTATTATTATTATCGGTGAGATTATTTAACACTGAACTCTCTGCTTTTGTTCAATATGATTTCATGTTATGCTTACTGATTGATTGACTGACTTAAACTCTTCACTTCATTTTAGTTGTTCTTCTATGGAGGATATACTATTCAAAAAAATAGACAACAGATAAAATGTGTTTATAAATTATTATTTTTTATTTTGCTGAAAAAACTATATTTATTCCCTGGTCTCTGTCTCTTTCTTACTACGCATTCACTCATACTCTTACTCTACTTCTTTCCTGTCAATATTGTCTCAGTTGATTTTATTGAGCGAATGAATGGATGAGTGAATATTATGAAACTTGAAAACAATGTGTAACAGTGATAAACTTCCTTTCTTATTAGTCTAATTCTACTCTGTTCTGTTCTGTTCTGTACTTTTTTTTCTGTTTAAATTAATAGCTTCGGGTTTAATTTTTACTGCCCTATTTTAAACAAAACAAGATCAAATGATTTTTGAGTCAGCCATATTCCTGTCAGTAAATCTGTGGCAAACAACTGATCCAGTCAGTCATAAGAGTTCAGTAACATTTATTTATTATTGCAACAAATAGATAGACAGATCGATAAATATAGACGTTTACACACACACTAACGAACCTGTCAACAACATATGGAAATCTTTTTTCCTACTGAGTAGTAGTAATAAGTAGTATATTTAATAATACTAAAATTAATGAACTGTTTTTTTAACGGAGACGTCAGCAAAACAGATCAGTGTGTGTGTGTGTGTGTTTGGGATGAAATTTTGATTTGTAGTATTATCAATTTCGTTTTTGTGTTTATGTGGTTCGTTTTTTCCGCTTTGGTTTTGTTTTCAAAAAAATTATCGATCATTGTCGACAATGTGATGCTAAAAATGTATGTTGATAAAGATTGAGAAATATAGTTTTTTCTAAAAAAAAATATTATAACAAAACAATCATTCTTCATTTATTTATGCCTCATAGACAAATCGATAAAGTTATTAGTGAATTGAAATACTCCTACTGTCGAACCATGTGTATTTCGTAGTTGGTTACTCGATGAGCCTTTGACTTATAGATTTAATCCGACAAGTTAATAGAGATTTGGTTGCATGTTAGCCGGTGACCAGTAATAAGTTCATATGGTATTCAATCGGTCAGGATTGTGAAGTCTATGTGGTGAACCATTGGTTTTGGAGTGAGGCTATCCAACTCCGTCAGTTACCGTCCAATACTCACTTTGTATCGTCTCGATTTCGTAGATAACATTGTTGTGGTGAGAAGGTAGTGAATAGGACTTACTTTATAGTCAGTCAGTCAGCAGAAACGTAGAAATTCGTATGTACGTTCATTGGTTCAATTTGCCATATGACGATAGCACAGAGATGCAATTGTCAATTTGAATCCCATAGTGGTAGAGTTAGTAGAATTATACTCAGTTATCAGAAAGATGTTATTCAAAGAGTATAATATAGTGAAATATATTTGAGAAGCGTAAGATGAAGGTCATCAAGAATTCAGATTCAAATTTGGAAGAACACAAAGAGTGGATGTAGCTGCGCCATTGCAAACGATTTTCAGCCATGTAATTTGAAGTCTCTAACCATCAGTTACTATCATCTCTCCGACTCCAACCAGGTAGGTAGTCTACACCTACCTACTTACTTTATAGTGGTTATAAACATGTGACCATAGGGGGAGAAGTTCTAGTAAAACATCACAACTGGGGGATTTAAAATACTTTGGTAGTGAAACATTTGTCATTTATGCCATTATAGTCGTAGTATATCACAAATTGACTGATGTAAAATATGTAAACCACTAAATGTACACCAGAAATTTCTTATGATTCAATGTTTCGAAGCAAGTCCTAATGATATTCAGTTATATCTTTTGATAGGTCGTCGTGGTTATTCACTTCCAAAGAATAGTTACATACTAGTATTTAAGGAAACTCTGCTTCAGAGCTATTTACGATGAATGGAACTTGCACAATGAATAGACTTTTACAAAATGCTTGCATCTAAACCTTATATGTTTGTCATTAGACCGTGTTAGGTGTGAGGCAGTTAGTTACCCATCGATAACAACCGATGTGGTTATGCAATATCGTGGATTGATTGAACTTAGATGTTAACACCAGTGTATGCCGGCTCAGTGATCAACAGGTTAAGTGATAGCGCGCGAGACCAAATGTCCCGGGATTGTGGATACGTTCTGTTGATGAGTCCCATTCTAAGACGAAACGACCTTTCCAAGTGTTCAGGTTTCCATTATTTAAATGAAAACATATGTGTTTGATTGAATTACACAATTCTCAATACTAAGCATACATCTAACTTTTGATTACTGAAATACGTATATACTTAAAAGGTTTCACAAGACTAATTGGGTACTATTTGTATTGATCATGTAGAACGTTTTCTGTGATACCTAAAACAAATTAAAGAGTTAATTTATAGGTTCTACCAACGACAAACTTGGAAGAAATGTTGTCCAATGAGACTGGTCAGTTGTCATCCTATCTATCATCGAGACGGCCCAAATAACCAATATAAATATATCAGACTTCTTCCTATTACACTAACTATTGGCAATCTGGACTTGGTAAATAGTGTAGACAACGTCATTGCATTTGACGAAAACGATGTTAGATTTGAGTCACGGAGAGGACACCAACTCTAAGATGCATGGTACATTCAGCTGACCAGTAAGAAATCTGTTGAAATGCACATCTCGGATCCAAATTCTGTTTATTTAATGTAAACTTATGTGTCATAACCGTTAAATCGAGATCATCTAATGATTAGTCGGAAAAATTTTCTAGAAACGATATAATCTAAACCAATTCAAATTCAAATACGCATTGCTAGTGTATCATGGGACAACCGAGTAAGCAATGCTAAAGTTTGGAATTGAGTACCAGGTAGGAATGGCAAATCAATAGATGAAGTATTCAAACTTCATCAGTTGAGGTGGTTGGGACATATGTTACGAATACCTGCCCACCAGCTACCTCAACGAGCGTTATTTTTTGGTACAGGAGTAGGTTGAAAGAAAGTTAGGGGCGGCCAGACCAAAACATGGCACAAATCCATGCAGTAACTGACAAGTGGACTGAGTCATGTTGGTAGGTTTAAACCCCCTGGTTGGGGTCCTCAAGATGATAGTAACCGATGGTTAGAGACCTTGAACGACATGGCTCAAAATGGTTTACAATGGAGTAGGTGCATCCACTCGTTGTGGTCTGTGAAATCCTAATCTTCTAAATTCGTCATCACCTCAACCTTTCTCTTTCTAAATTTATCTCACTGAATTATACTTCTCGAATCATATCTTCGATCCCTAATCTTCTCCATTATTGGTAATACTTCTACTATCTCTACCACTATGTGATTTGAACTGACAGTCGCGCCTCTGTGCTAATGTGGTATGGCAACATGAACTGATGTACACTTACACACGAAGTTCTACGTTGTAACTGACTGACTGGCTGAATTCAAATCCATCATCTTACCGAAAAAGTGTGACAAATAGAAATTATGTGTCCCCTTTCAATGTGATTGATCAAACTTTAGCAGCAATAAAAATTTACTGAAAATTAAATGTAAAACTGTTATATCGATGGTTTTTAGATATTCCACTTCTCGCGGTATTACTAGTGATATACTTGAATGCTATTACAAGTTCACCTTACTCGGTAAATGGAACGATACTGTGTCATGATAGGCTATTCTAATCCGAGCATCTCAGGCTCCTGCTAACTAGATTAAGAAGTCTTGATAAGACGTAATGAGAATGTATTCTACAAGCATCCAGTAAAAACGTGGTTCCTAAGCACACAACTGAAGCTTATTTATACAATGATAGAAACGCCCTTGGGAGAGCCACACAAAAGCATACTAAGATAATCCGTCAACCAATGATAGTCAAGGATTTTGCAAGTGGGAAATGTAAGCTAAAGGTCAATTATGCGTCCTGGCGGGAAAACGATGAAATTCAGGATTTCAGAATAAACTAACAAAATTAGGACCTTTTCCAAGTGAATTCTGGGAATCTGACGTCCCCAACAACTACTTACTACAAACAGACTTCAATAGATGACCGAATTTATCGTTACTCAGATGACACACTACACAAAGATCACTTTGAAACCAGATGACATGATTCACAACCGAAATAGAGAACTACCACTACCACTACTACCACTACTTATATATTAACAAATTACTTACACCTGTTCCCCTCAATGGATCATAGACCGCCGATCAGTATTCTCCATCCAACCTACTCTGTCCTAGGTCTGTCTTTCTAGTTCTGTTCAATTTTTTTTTCAATCTTCTCATGTCTGTCTCTATTAGCCGGCGTAATGTTTTCTTTGGCCTTCCTATTTTCCTTGTCTTGTGATGCAGACGAGTGCTTTCCTCAATGTGTGTCTTATCTTGATTTCTTCCTCCACTGAAATCCGGTTTATTCTTTCCCACAGTAGGTTAGTGCTGAAGGTATCTGGCCAACGAATCCGAAGTATTTTGCTTAGAAATCTGTTAATAATAAATGCTTGTATCTTGTGGATGATGACTTTCGTAGTTCTCCAAGTTTCCGCTCCATACAGTAGAACTGTCTTGACATTTTTTATTGAAAATCGTGACTTTGGTGTTCGTTGATAGTTGTTTGGAGTTCCAGATTTTGTTCAGTTGTAGAAATGCCGCTGTCCTTGTTTCGCCGATCCACGCCATCGCATGTGCGTCAGGTCCATTAAGATCATCAATTATTGTGACTCCATCTCTGGAACCCTTCTGGAGCTTCTGCCTGTCCCAAGCCCGGATAAAGGAGGAGGGTTGGGCGTGGGGTTAGCAACCTGTAGGGTTCGTCACTAAGTATGCTTGAGGCTATTACGAGTTTACCTTAGTCGATCAACGCGAACGAGACTTTTACCAGCGTCCAGGTAGGTTTCCTTGAATCCCCAAATAGAGTGAAAAGACTTTGTAAGCGTAGAAAGTATCTTCTACAAACACCCAGCAATCACAATACAATTAAGCATACAACTCTCGTTTATTTATACAACATAGAAACGTCCTTGAGACAGTTAAGAAAATAGCACACTAAAATACACACAGAGTAGCCAATCACAGCCATGGATTTTCCTGGTGAGAATTGAGATCTCAAGGTCAACTGATTAGCACGTCCTCGCAAACGTTAAAACCGAAATAAGGCATTTATCAAGCGAATTTTTTGGGGATCTAACATCCCCAACACAACCCTATCCCATAGAATACTAACTCCCAAAAAAAATCAGTAATATTAATAATAATAATAATCCTAAATAATGGTAATAACAGATAAGTTTATTCATTTCATATCAACAAAAAATTTGTATTAAAACACGAAATCGAAAACAAAAGAACACATGTTAACCATTATTAGTACTATTATCATTTTTATTATTATTACTGATAATTTATATCAGTACACATAAAAATGATTGTTCAATTTTCAAACCTTGTTTGTTTGTTTGTTTTTCCTAACAAATTATTTTTCAAAATAGTTCATTTAAAACAAGAACACCTGACTATTGAATACGATTAATATACTAATACTAATATTGATAATCATAAATAATTCCGAATATCCGTTAAATGTCCAATATTTTATGTATTATGTATGAATCGATAGAATTTTATTTATGTTTTAAAAATAGTGAATTTAAATTTTTACAAAATTTGTTTGTAATTTGAAAAAAAACGAAAAAACAATTAATCAGCTGATTTCGTTCAATACAATACAACCTTGAAATAAATATGAAGCAACCTTGATTAAAGAGAGAGAGGTAAGAATAGTTAACAGTAAGATTGAAGAAAAAGGAGAAATAAGTAAAGAGAAAGGAAGGGTGAGAGAGAGTTGATTGGTGAAAAAGCTCAACAAGCACTATCA